AAGAGAAAGAAAAAATTTTAATCGCATCATATGACCCCTTTAAATGTGACCATAAGGGTCAATTTTTCGAAATTGAGATTTATACATCATCTGAAAGCTAAATACATAAGCTTTCCATTGATGTATGGTTGGGATATGGCAATATTTGGCTGAGATAGAACTATTTGAAAATCTGGAATCTAAGGGTGCAAAAAAATCTAAATATTGAGAAAATCACCTTTAAAATTGTCCAAATGAAGTTCTTAGCAATGCATATTACTAATCAAAAATTAAGTTTTGATATATTTACGGTAAGAAATTTACAAAATATCTTCATGGAACATAATCTTTACTTAATGCCCTAATGATTTTTGGCATAAAAGAAAAATCAATAAAAAAAAAATCAATAATTTTGACCCATATTTGACCCGTATTTTTGGCTATTGCTACAAATATACCAGAGCGACTTAAGACTGGTTTTGTGGTCCAGGGTCACAAATGTCCTAATTAAACTACAGAATAATCCTGGCTTAGTCTAAGCCCTGTTTGTGAAACCAGGCCTAAAATTACTATTTCCCCTAGACTGATTTAAACTTTCACACCCTGAGTCTCAGAAACTAAGTAAAGCCAGCCAATCAGATTTGAGCCTGCTGTTTTGAGGGAGCTACTGCACTTTTTGCATTCCATATCCATCAGGAGGTGGGTATGCTGCTGGAGGCTGAATGATGAGTCCAGACATGTGACCCAAAAGTTATATCTTATTGGTCGGTAACTTTTCATTGCAACACCAAAGAAAAAAAAAAAGTTCTGTTGTCAGAAAAACACTGCTATGTGAAAGCACAATGCTAACCTGCTACATACATCATGCAAATCTGAGCATATCAATAAATGAAGTGAACTTTGTGTGTGTGTGTGACCTTTACTCTAGTTGATAGGAGGAAAACATTAGAGCTGGTAATCCTTCACTCATCCTTTGACCTCCTTAATCGTATGCCAAAACACTTACATTCGAAGAAGTTCTCTCTTATTCTTGGGGACCTATCAATCAGTCAAAGTCTGTGCTCATCCAAACCTGTGATGTGTCATTCATTATCAGCAGCGGCATGCTTTGAAAGATAAACACAAACACTTTAAGACTGAAACATTGACTCTAATCCCTATGACCTTGAGGCTATCAGCATATTCGAATATGGGATGTGATTATGACATTTTTTTTCTGAGAAGGAGATGAACACATAGACTACACGTGCACTTATTCCACATCTTTGCAGTTAAAAATTCATTCAATGCTGAAAGCTTTGTGTTCTCTGAGCCCTAATTATTATAAACAAGGTTTTCAATCACTGACAGCAGTCTGAATTGTAATGAGGGGCTGGTGCAGGCCGGTACAGACCAAACTGATGCAGCCCCTGCAAATGAATGATTCGCTGAAGCCATCAGGGTCCTGAAAGGGCAACCTATTTCTGATGTCAATGCATAACACAGCCACATGAAGTGCTTACTCACCCTCATGTCGCTCCAAACCAGTAATAATTTATTTCTAAACAAGTGGAGAAATGCTGAAGAACTCTTTTGTCAGTTTGTTTTGTTATTTGTTAATTTAGCATAATACATTCATATGAGATCTGCATACAAACAGAGTAAGAAGCTTTCAGAATATGTCATTTTGATTAATTTCTATTTTTGATGACAGTAGCTACTAATACCTACCTTAATTTTAATAATCTACTGATACTGAATCATCCCAGTTTTATTCATAGAATATATTGTACCTGTGGTATTTTGGCAGACGTGATTGCAAATATAATGACTTTTTTTTATATATATATAAAAGGTTTCTTGTTAAGCATATTCATTCAAACAACAACAAAAATCATTTTTTTAGTTTAAGTTATGATGTATAAGACGTGATTGCAAATATAATGACTTTTTTTATATATATATATATATAAAAGGTTTCTTGTTAAGCATATTCATTCAAACAACAACAAAAATCATTTTTTTAGTTTAAGTTATGATGTATGTCACTGGCTATATAACTTAAGTGTTGCTACTTTTTGTTATTTGTTATCTACATACTTCAAAACAGTAGCTTTAATTTAGTTTAATCACTGTACTTTCAATTATGTCTAGCTTGTAGCTTGGCAAACTAGCAGCTACGGAAATGTGTGTCATAGCTAACCTTACTTGTTTTTATTTGTCAAAATCCAGATGGTAATAAGACTAATACACACATGTGTCACAGGCCCACTGCTAACTATTTAGAGCCTTTTATTTTGATAACATCACACCCTTGATGCAAGCATCTGTTGGTGGAAATGTTGACCTCATGGACACACAAAAGACATGCATGCAGAGCTCACGGCATGACAGGAATGGAGAGAAAAATAGACAGATGATTAGCGAGGAGTATTGCGAGAGGAAAAGAGATGGATTTCTGCAACATGACACACAACCCCCCACATATAACCTGTAACTTTATCACACCCAAGTATTTCTCTCCTGTAAACATCCAAAGTGTGGCAGACGTTCAGAGTCCCCTCTGTGGACATAAAGCCCCTATGCTCAACAAACTAACAGCACCATACCTCACAAAAACATACTGTGGTGGAACCATTGATATTTATATGGTTCTGAATGATTATCACATGAACTACCATTGTATATGGTATTCCAAGGAATTACTAAAGTTACTATCATGAGTTTCTTTGAAATGAGTTCCCAGTCTTTTGACCAATAGATTTCCATTAGCAGATTTCACTTTGTATTGGAATTAACAGATATAAATGTTGCTAGAAATAGCGAAATAATGAAAACACTTACATTTTAACAGCCTAATAATCAGTGTATATACATGAATATATTTTAATCAAGAGGTCTCTACACTGTATAGTGCATCATAGACATGCATGTGTACAAGAATACTTAAACTCAACTTGAACTAAATTCACAACTCAAGCATAAAGTACAGTATTAGAATGGGAAACCTCAGGAACTGAATCACAAAAATTGGTCGTCTAATGACAGGTGGTTGGAATGAAGTGGTTAAAAAATTAAGAGGACTTAGTAACCAAAGCCAAAATCCTCATTGGAAGATCACGTGCATTGTATCAGACTAATTTATTATGTGCACTAATCATAAGTCATGCAATATGAATCTATTAAATGGTGTGTCTGTTAAATGAATAGTCTGAACCTTGCTACTTCAGAACAGCACAATCAGCTGAAATAATATTTTGCCTATGGTTAACAGTGATGTTGTATTAAAGGGGTCATATGACGTTGCTAAAAAGAACATTATGTTGTGTATTTGGTGTAATGAAATGTGTTTATGCAGTTTAAGGTAAAAAAACACAGATTATTTTCCATATAATGTACATTATTGTTTCTCCTCTATGCCCCGCCTTTCTGAAACGCGTAGATTTTTACAAAGCTCATTGTTTTAAAAAAAGTGAGGTGTGCTCTGATTGGCCAGCTATCCAGTGCGTTGTGATTGGCCGAATGCCTCAAGCGTGTGACGAAATGTTACGCCCCTACCATACTGTGATGCCGTCTTCCAGCAGGACGAGACTCAGTCCAGCTGCTCTGCTCGTGCACATTCCATCATCGGTTCTCTTTTAGCAGTTCAGTCAATGTACTGTTAGGAGTAACTGAATAACTCGGGATATTGGTTTATTTCGCGTCAGAGGGAGTGCCAGGCACGTTTATAAACTGAATAACTTAAGTAATTTGTGGATTAGTGCATACTGGAGGCGCGAACCGTTTCAAATGAATCAGTTCGATTTGGTGAACTGGTTTGACCGGTTCACTAAGAAGATCCGGTTAAAAAGAACGATTTGTTCGCGATCCGGACATCACTAGACGAGACAAAACCAATAAAACCCATTACAAACGAGGCATTTGTTGCATTCATCCAGTGGGGACATAATTACTGATTATAATGGCTTATACTGTTGCGTATCGCACTGCGTAAACATAAAACCATGTCTGCATTTGTGATCGGAGAAACAACAAACAACAAGCCTACTCTACACTGCTCAAAACTCGTGTTTGACTCATCAGTGGCAAATTATTTAAATATAAAAAAACGTACTTACAGGCTGTGAGTCAGAAGCGCCAGACTGTCCTTGCAAAGTTGGAACTGCCCAAATTTATAGAAACAGCCTTTGTGCCACAGACGCATTAGGCTACTGGTTCAGGGAACAGTCCTCATCCATCCTCCATAAAATGCGCAGCACACATCTGAATATTTGGGTTGAACTGTTCTGGAACAGTGTTGTAAATACAACTTAACTTTTGGAAGGCCAAAAAAAGTAGGTTCGCTTTCACAACGAAACACACAGTGACTCCACGACATGGCGATGGTGGCAACAATACTACAGCGAGAATAAAAGTTATGCCTTCTTTCTTTGCGTGAACATTTGGGCAGCGTTATGCAAATCTTCCCACATCGTGACGTAGACATGTGGGGGCGTGTTAGAACGAGGCGTTTTAGGAGGGGGTGTGGTTGACTCTTAACTTTTACAAAGAATATCTCTTTGGATTTGAGACTTTAGTCTTTGCAACTTTACAGATCTTCTTTATGCACCAAGAGCTTGTAACACTCCAAAGAGAAAGAACTACAGTACTTAACTACTGTAGTTCTTAAATCGCATCATATGACCCCTTTAAAGCAGATATGTAATTTTCCCTTTTGTTTGATTCACCTCTAACTCAAACAGCAGTCAGCCTGCTGCTGTCTATAAAAATGGAAATTCTAATAATCTTAGTTTGTGTATGTGCACCGAACACCCAAGTAATTTGAATGACATAAAGAAAAATGGGTAAAAAGTGTAAGAAATAAGAAAAGATTGAATTCAGGAGCAGGTATAGATAGTAGAGCATGAGAGAGAGAGCTTGTAGAGTGACCTGCAATAGGACTAGAGTTGCCGCTGACTAACAGAACCATACACAGAAGAAACTCCGCCCCTTCTCTCCCAGCCTATAACAGCCCACTATGGAGCCCGAGTCCAGAAACAGATGAGTGTACTTCCACACCACTACTGCTCTGGACACCCTCTGGCTGTCTGTGTCGACCTGCTTTTAACCTCTCTGTACTGGATACTGTCTTTTTGGATACTTTTTCTCACTTCTTTGACACTTTTGCATGGATTACTGATTTAAAAATGCATTCCCAGCTGTTGTTGGATGAATTCAGCCATGGTAAGTTACCTGTTCTTACCTGACTCCACTTGTTTGAACCTTGCTGCTTAATTTGTAACACTTACTAATAAGGTGACTCTTATAAGACCGCAGACTAAGTTTCTCCTGGTGTCCTTCTCTCTCTGAGGACATGTAATATAGACACTGAATGTTTCGGCCGATTTATGATGGCAGGTTGGGAAGGGTCCCAGAAACGGTGCACACGGACAGCTTCAGGATTTAGGAGTGACAGGAAGGTCCTGGCATGGCCCACTTGTGCATATAGCGAAGCTTCAAAACTCTCATAACCAAAAGTGCATCGGTGACCCCTAAACCAGCACAGTTACAATTTACTGCACAGCTTCACTGGAACATCATTACGTGAATAGATATAACCCCGAGTACACCGTAATGTAATTAAAGGGCGCACAAATCAACTATTTGGTAAGAAGAGCACTGATTCCCCAATAAAACTCTAGACAGCATGTGCTCACAAGCAGTAAACAGAATGTGGTACGCAGGCGTCCAGCAAGGAGAGTCGTGAGAGGGTGTAGGAGGCTCATTGGACTGTAATAACTGGCTCACTGGATTATGTAAACTAGATCATGGAACATTCCTCTATGGCTTTTAGTTTTGATCAGTAGTTTCTCAGTGATGTCTGCGACAACTAAGATAAATTTCTCTGCAGGATGGAGTTGTCAATCATCTGAACGTTATGTAATTAACTGTGATGGTGTCAAGTTGTAGTGGTAGCCTGCTGGTTAATAATATGGGCTGTTTTCACAATGCTTGCAGGTTGACGCCAAGCAGCCGTGACCTAGGAACTATAGAGTGACTGGCCATTGTGCCCTTGATCAGCAACCCATGATTTCCCCCAAGGGATCTCCTGTACTGGAAGATGTTTTGCATAATAAAAGCATGGTAAATGGTGTGTAAATGCTTAAAACGTTACACATTTATTTTGGTGTTGTGTTCATATTGTGAATAGATAATATTGGCTGTGTGATTCGTCTAAATAAGCTTCCAAAGGTGAAAAGGCCTCACGTGGGATTTCTATGAAATGTCGTCATTTTATAAATGTTAGGTTGTGAAAGTGGGTTGTGAGCATTCGTTTGTTTAAGACGGTCTGGTGACAGAGAGGGTAATAAACCTCAATGTTTGACGTGTGTGAGGGAATGACACACCTCAGTTGTTACCCAACACCTACTGTTCTCCTTCCACATGCTGCAGGTAGACACAAAGTCCACATTATCACACCACTAGCTTGTGTTTATATTTATCCTTCCTCAAATGAATCCCTCTACAATCACAAAGGTTTGCATGGGTCATGCATGTGTTGTACGGGTTGATTTGGGCTTCTAGAGTGGCTGACCTATAAAACGTTAAGTGTGAAACAGGGCTGTGTGAAACTCTTACGTCATACAATTTTAATAAGCAGTAATACTATACGTCTCCGGGTTACACAACATTGCTACCGAGAAGAGTAACCTCTTAATATTTCCGCATATACAGTTTGCACCTTATAATAGACTTGAATATTTATTATAGCCCCCCCAAAAAATAACGTCTTGCAGAATGTACATTTTGCCCTTTTCCATACATTGACTAGAGTGCTCAAGCGGTGTTATTTTATTATCATTGATATACTATTCTAGTTTTTGTTAATAATTTGAATTTTGTTGTTAATATTTTGACTTTCTGTTTTTATATTAACTTTTTACTAGCCTAGTTTATATATATATATATATATATATATATATATTGTTTTTATTATTATTATTATTATTTTTTTAGTACTTCAAACTAAACCAAACTAAAAATATTGGCTTGGCAACTAGCTGAAATAAAATAAGTTAGTTTTATTTGACTTAACGTTTGTTTTGTCTCTAGTTAAAAAACGATTAATTTTCTGCAACTTTGCAACATTTATGCAACTTTTTCAGAATAATGGCTTACAATGCTGAGGACACTCTGAAAAATGCTGGGTTGTTTCAACCAAACTTTGGGTCAAATATGGACTAATCCAGATGTTGGGTTGAATTTTTACATTTTTAACCCAAAAGTTGGGTTAGTCCATATTTGACCCAAAGTTGGGTTGAAAGAACCCATCATTTTATGCTGTACAAGATTATTAATAAATAAATAATTAAGTCATTAATACATAATTGATACATAATCCATAATAAACAGTATATTTTATATTTATAATGTTGCAGTAATCTATCAAATGCTTTCTGCTGGGATTTAGGAGTATAAAATGTGTGATATGATTAATAGGGCTCACACATGGCAGTGCTGGTGTTACTCCAAAGTGCAGTCGTAGTGCGGCATCGATGCGAGCACATGGGGATTCACATGCGCGCCTCTGCTGAAGAGCTGCTGATGCTGCGCCGCATCCATCCATTCCTTCAGCGCTGGCGCAGGACATACAGTCCTGATGAATCCGTTCCTCCTCATGCAGCTCAGTTTAGCTACATTTAGTGTATTTAAAACCGTGTTGGTTACCGTTTCAGCCTGGAGGCTTGTGAGCATCATGCTTTTAGACGGCTCGTCTGCGGCGATGTTGCAGCATCATCATGCGTCCTGCGGTCGGACCTCTGCTCATAGCCATATATGAAGACACTCGGATAATAACCATAACGTGCTTTCTGGAAATAACGGAGACGGAACAGGGAGGGAGAGACTAATCTACCCAAATGCAGTGAGTAGAGCTGGATCAGAACATGCTGTCTGTAGCTACATCAGATAAGAACCTATGAAGGATGTTGATGTTAGGCTATTCTTAAAATGGTCACGGGTAGTTTAGTGGATGATGTTGTCGTGATTGTGAAGATGGATAAACTGCACAGACACAGCCTACAGTACATAGGACCAGTGTTGGGGGTAATATATTACAAGTAACGCAAGTTACGTAATCAGATTACTTTTTTCAAGTAACTAGTAAAGTAACGCATTACTTTTTAATTTGCAAGAGAATATCTGAGTTACTTTTTCAAATAAGTAACGCAAGTTACTTTTTTTTCAATTTATTGATTGACAGCTCTCCTGTCCCCATGTCGAGAGAAATCAGAAGATGTTACTGTAGTTCAAAATAAATATGAATATGCATTAATTCATCTCACTCACACACAAAAACACACAGATTCAGTATTCCTAGTACCGTAATTAGTTACTTTTTTTGGAGTAACGCAATATTGTAATGCATTACTTTTAAAAGTAACTTTCCCCAACACTGCATAGGACAGATAAATTAATGAATGAACAAAGTACATAAGTAAGTAAACCCTGAAAGTTCATCAACACAGTCTCTGAACTATTAGGGGAGTAGCTTTAATGGTAATAAATCTTTAATGATGGGAACATTGAGATCTGAAGCAGTCTGCCCCTACCGGCAGATCCGGTGTCAGCAGCGACTTATTCACTGACTATCACAGGACAAACTAAACCAACCAGGACAATGAACAAAGTACATAAGTAAGTAAACCCTGAAAGTTCATCAACACAGTCCCTGAACTATTAGGGGAGTAGCTTTAATGGTAATAAATCTTTAATGATGGGAACATTGAGATCTGAAGCAGTCTGCCCTACCGGCAGATCCGGTGTCAGCAGCGACTTATTCACTGACTATCACAGGACAAACTAAACCAACCAGGAAAGAACAAAACAATCCTGCTTTATCGTCGATGGACGAGAACTGTAAGTCAGCATCTGGAATTAAACAGCCCTGAAACAACAACTAAAGCAAACAAGAGTAGGTTATGTAACACCCTGCAGCAGGTTCTGCATTGACTCCTAATTTAGAGTATCACACACAAAATGCACTTGTGATAGCTACAGATTATTGTTTATTAAACTACGAAAAATATTGTTCAGGGGTTTAGGGAAACCTGTCAACACATTATTTTTGTAATTCCATTTGATGCGTTAGTGAACAGAAATAACCCCAAATATAATAATAATAATCATAATAATAATCATAATTTATTAATAATTTTTTTAATAACCATTTCTTACTATGTGTCAGTAAGTTGTTGTTATTTTAGCATGTGTGTTTGGCTCAGTGTTATTTTTTTAGGATTACTGATAAACTAATGTACTTTGATTTGTATTAGTTATCTATTTTCATTTTAGTTACAGTTGTAGTAATGTTGTCATTTTATTAGTTTTTTTATTATGTCTATATAGGTTTTTTTTATTAAGTTTTAGTTTTATTTAATTTGAGTTATTTCAGTACTTCAACATACAAATGGAAATGAAATAATATATATATATATTGAAAGTATTTATATATATGTACATGCATATGTACAGTGGGTACGGAAAATATTCAGACCCCCTTAAATTTTTCACTCTTTGTTATATTGCACCCATTTGCTAAAATCATTTAAGTTAATTTTATGCACTGGGTCAGCTGGCCAATCAGAGCAGTCTGCGCTTGTCGGAAGGAGGGACTTTGTAGAAAACGAAGCGTTTGAGAGAGGTCCTACAATAATGTACAGTATTTGAAAAATAATGTGTTTTTTTTAGCGTTAAAGCATGTCAACATATTCTGTTACACCAAATACACAAAATAATGATCTTTAAAAAAAGCATCATATGACCCCTTTAATATTTTGAATTGTTTTTAGCTTTATTTTTTTTGTTTTCATTTAAACGTTTAGTTTTGAAATGTTGTTGTATGCATTTGTCATTTTTATTTAATTTCTTTTCTTTTCTTAAATGTGTATATAGCTATATAGTATTTATAGGGTTTTAGTTTTTAGTTTTAATTACTTTTTCTTATTTGTAAGTCGCTTTGGATAAAAGCGTCTGCTAAATGACTAAAAGTAAAGTAAAGTAATAAAGCTTAACGAGCCTAACAATGATTTTTTTTATTGTTGACTTTTGAGATGCTTTCTAATATTTTTTTTAAAGTATGCTTGTGCTACGCAAATATAAATGAAGCTTAGTATTATAAAATATGTAAGGGTTAAAATACGTATTCTAAAAATGTAAATGTGTTTAAAATATTTAGTTACACTAGTTTTGTGGTAAAAAAAAAAATATATATTGCAAGATTTTTAAAACATAAATTGTTGTATTTTTATGTGCTGTTGGTGAATTTAAAATTTTGATTGACCTAATTATTTGTTGATTTCACAATTCCTTGCGCGCTGTTATAATTTCAAGTTCTCTGGCCCTTCATAGATTGTGTGGTTATTGCAGTGAATTTCAATTTATTGATAAGTTTGAAAACGGCGCGGTTCCCATAGCAATAAAAGAAGCGGGAGGAGTGCTAAGAGCGTTCAATGCCCATACGCTTCATAGAGCAGCTCTTCACGCGGATAGAAATAGAAGCGCGTAATGCGCATGCGTAGCAGCGGCTTATTCACAGTGCTTCAACACAAGAGCTTCACACGGCAGTTTGCGAGGGGAGCGTGCTGATAGCGCAAACAAGCCTGACCAAGAACGGTTAGGAATAAAATATACATGACACCCGTGAGAAGAGTAAGTACATGTTTTATGTCTTTGCTTCATATATGAGCGTGTCTGGGGCGTAAGTATGGCTATTTGAGTAGGTTAAAGGGTTTATTTTAACGGCAAAGGGCGGCGCGATGATCAGCCGTGGCACAATAACCTTCTTTGTTCAGGTAACGCGTTGAAGCGCCTTAAAACATCAAGATTTAACACGTAAATCATTAGAGGACACTGTTTACTCGTATGTAAGACATTAGTATGGTTATTATGGGTTTTATTTCACAATCACCTGGGTTATTAATGATTTTAAAACATGGTTTTACGGTGACTTGATGTTTGTGTGAGTCCTGTCGTTATTTTATTGTTCGTTTTATATTAACATCAGTTTTTACATTTGGGGTTCCTACTGTTTCTACTGGGTTATTGATTGTGTTTTATAGTATTTGAATTGAAACAGTGTTTTGAGTCCGAGCCGGTTCAGTTTTAGCTTTAGCAAGTAACGTTAGCCCGACAGGCAAAATGGAGGACCTAAAATGACCAATAAACCCATAAAAACACATCCTGATCAACTGTAAACTTTACAGGACTGCACTATACACAATCCACGTATATACAACACGATAGTTTTTTGTTTGTTTGCCACGTTATTGTATTTTGTTCATCAAATCCTCACACTATTTACTTTAATATTTAATTATTAACAAATTTCTTTAGTTATTCCTGGACAGCCTTAATATATCTACTTTTTGAGTGTTGAATGTTGAAGTAGTCCTTGTTGTGTTTAATGGAGTTTGTGGCAGATCCAAAACATGTAGTTGGTTTATATTTATGAACTCACTTTCACTTGATCATTGTTTAAATAGCCTATGACTTATAGGTGTTGGTTTAATATCAGTACTAGATTGATTCAGAGTTTGTTTGCTCCCTCCTTCAGTTAACAAAATGGATGTCAGCCGGTCGGCCATCATTTCCCTCACACACTACTGCAACGTGGCTGAATCACCCCCAACCTTTTCAGACACAGACTGGGACCCGTGTTAATCCATTACATATGTGTTACGAGCACTGCGGTGTCTTTTACGGTTTACAGGAGAAACAGGAACCCATGACATCAGATAGTGTAGATACGCCAGAGTTGGGGTTCATGAACAATCACACACAGGAAACATTGCCCAAGAGGGCTGCATGAGTGTGTAAGCATTTTACCAGAGTGATTTCATTGAGAAAGTTCAGAACTGAATAAGCGGTCCTCTGTATTCAACGTGGCTGAATCACCCCCAACCTTTTCAGACACAGACTGGGACCCGTGTTAATCCATTACATATGTGTTACGAGCACTGCGGTGTCTTTTACGGTTTACAGGAGAAACAGGAACCCATGACATCAGATAGTGTAGATACGCCAAAGTTGGGGTTCCTGAACAATCACACACAGGAAACATTGCCCAAGAGGGCTGCCATGAGTGTGTAAGCATTTTACCAGAGCGATTTCATTGAGAAAGTTCAGAACTGAATAAGCGGTCCTCTGTATTCTTTTGTGTAGACTACTTGTGTTTTTAAATGAGTATGTCACGTTAAGATTATTTCACGTTATTTTCAGTATCCTTTGTACAGTTGAACAAATTCAGATTCATTGCATTTTCAGTGTCTTCTCCTTAGAAAAAGAGGAAGCATTTTTATGAAGTGCTCCTAGCGAATGGCATTCTAATTTGAGTTTTGGTCTTCCAACGGTACGTTGCTAATCGGTTGTTTTCTGCTCTGTTTTGCAGGGTATCCCAGTGTAAAATGGAGGATAGTTTTGATTGCGACTGCGGTGAGCTGGAGCCGCCTGATCACTGAGAAGGAATAGTCTCTCTGATATAATCAACCCTTTCGGTTTCCCCACATCAGGTGCTTTAAACAGAAAAAAGAAAAAAAAAGATTAGTAGATTTATCACCATTTACTTGGACCGTTAGTAATGCTGCTGCTCAGGACCAGTCATACACTGAAAATTTCTACACTGTGACGATGATTTTATAGGTAGTGACTTCAGTTACGTTCAGAGATATTTGATTGGCATCCAAATTCATTCCATTTAACATTGAAATTAAAAGAAAAATCTCCCACACTCTACATTTAAAAAGCTGCTAAAAAGTGCTGTGGATGATGAATACGCTGTAACAGTCGTTTGGGGAAAACGCTCAAGTCTTCGTAGGCTTGAGTGTTTGTCTCGTCTTTTTTGTTGTTCAGTTAGGTTTGCCATTCTCAATTAGCTCTAGTAGTCGCAACTCAAGATCAGCTGCATATCAGTTAAATCCGAAATCCTTCCTCCTATAATATCTGCACAGAGCTGCTCTTGTAGACCGCAAAATGGCAGAGAAATTTGAAAGCCTTATGAACATTCACGGCTTCGACCTGGGCCCTCGCTACATGGACCTAAAGCCTCTGGGCTATGGGGGCAACGGACTGGTCTTTTCCGCCGTCGACACCGATTGTGACAAGAGGGTCGCTGTGAAAAAGATTGTCCTAACCGATCCTCAGAGCATCAAACACGCACTGCGCGAAATCAAGATCATTCGCAGGCTCGATCACGACAACATCGTGAAGGTGTTTGAAACGCTGGGGCCCAGTGGCCGGAGGCTCACGGAGGACGTGAGCTCTCTGACGGAGGTCAACTCTGTGTACATCGTACAGGAGTACATGGAAACAGACCTCTGTAAAGTGCTGGAACAGGGCTTGTTGTCCGAGGATCATGCACGGCTGTTCATGTACCAACTGCTGCGAGGACTCAAATACATCCACTCTGCAAACGTGCTTCACCGAGACCTGAAGCCTGCCAACCTCTTCGTCAATACTGAGGACCTGGTACTGAAAATTGGGGATTTTGGACTTGCCCGTATCATGGACCCCCACTATTCCCATAAGGTATTTATTTTTTTCTCATGTGTATATCTTTCAGGGTTTGAAGTCTGTTTTATCTCATTGACAACCATACAGATGGCTTCTTTGATGGTGTTTGGCTGAGCTATGAATGAGATTTCCTTCCATTCACTGATTCGATGTATCATAGGAAGTAAACAGCAGTGCCACAGTCCTTGAAATGACACCTCTGACTTCCTGTTTCTGTGACACCCTTTCCTGTATGTTAACATCCAGTACAGTTTCTGCTTATCCGGTTGTATGTGTCTTGTGTATTTTGAAAGGAAGTCAACCCGGCCACTTCAGAAATAGTATGAAAGAACAACACAGCTGTTCCTTTATGAATCAGGAGTTGAATATCCAGTGTTTCTTCATATCCTGAGTGGGAAATCTGAATAAGTTTCACAATTCTGCTGTTGACTCTTCTGTTAATGTTCTCTCATTAGTTCCTTTGCTTGAACAGTTCAGTTTTGTGTGTGGTTTTGCAAGTATGTTGTGGAGCGGTGATTTCACTGGCTGATGTTGGGGGATGTGGCTGAATCCAAGCGTACACGTGTCTCAAATTTGTCATTGTTTCTTCTCTGTGGGCTCACATGATCCATATGCCAGCCTGATCTTCTCTCACACATGTATTCAGAGGCCTCCTTCAGAGCCTTTTAGAGAGAGAGAGCTGTTCCTGCTTCAGGTCTATGAATAGCTGCTGTCGCTCCCCCGCACATACTCTGTTCGTCTGGGTTTGTTCTACAAGGAACAAGAAAACTGCTAGACGATATCAGGCTCTGGTCCTGTAATTACTGAGTCAACTGCTTTACTGACGTGTGACAACTTGCTTAAGTTTGAGAATGGAAAGTTTGAGAAATCGGACTCGCTGACCATTTAAAAAAAACGAAAATGATTCCGAATAGGATTTGAAATTGCATCACGTGTCATAAATCTGTTATAAGTTATTACAGTCACTGTTTAATGTTTATTTCAGCAGTGACTTTGAGTAGAAACAGAATTATTCATAATTATCATTAAAAAGGTTGAATAAACTTCCTTTTGTACAGTTTAAACAGTTACAACTTGTAATTTTGAGTGTTTTAAATTTGATAAATTATTTAATAAACTTTTATTTTTGGTTTTCAGCTAAAAGAAAACACGTTCTTTTCCCACTGTTTTCTTGTGGAAGCATTCTCACTCTTGCCATTTAAGTAATTTTTTTTGTAAACTTGCACAGTAGTTTAACCAGCTTGTTAATTTTCATTCACAAAAGCACAGTGAATTTCAGAATGTAGGCCATGAAATTCTTATGATGATTTTATCCATCTGTTCCTTGTAATCTTGTATGGAGTCTGTCTCCTTTACATTCCAGAAATGCAACAATCTTTAATAGCTTAACTTGTCTGTCTGTTTCTCATAGTGCTCATAAATAATTTTTAGACACACACAGATATAAGGGAACTGTGGATATTCCGATTACGGTGTTGAAATGACACTCAATTCTGATCAAAAGAGGCACATGTAACACATTTGCGCATACACAGTCAGAATACAACCAGATTTACATATTAGGAAAGTTCATGTTTATGTAAACATGATTGCTAATTCTCCAGAATGTCATGTTTTTGTAAAGAGGTTGACTTTCTCACACTTTGCTTCTATCCATTCCTTCTCTTTTTTTTCCTCTCCCCCGCTCCCTCTTTGCTGCAGACTATTGTCAAACTGCTGTGCTCACTTTTGCTGACCTGTTTAAGTGGTTTTGCGCATTGATAGTTGGAGAACGGGAGTGTGTGTGATGCCTCTGTGAAACGACCCTTTTCTGCAGTCAGCACTTCAGTGGTGGTTTATGGAGGTTTGTGGGAAGCAAACCTCATCCATTTCACTGTCTCTAGTTTTATATTCATGAGCTTTTTTTCTGATGCATCTGTTTTTTTTCCTGTTGCATTCCCTAGAATGTATTTCTAAAACATTTAAGAAATAGTAGAAACATGTTTTAACTCTTAACATTTTTTTTAAACCTTGAATTGTTTAACTTTTTTTCCATTATATACATGCTTGTATCAAGACCAATTAACGTCAGATGTGGCTGGATGCTATAACATGAGGGACCTTTTTCAGTGAGTGAAGGCAATCCAGTAAAGTCTTTAAAATGGCCTGCATCCAGTAGGACAGGGCTTCTGTCCATGCAAATGAGGTCATTTTTGAAGGGCTAAATATGATCTAGCTTCAAGCTATAATTCAGACAGGCTGTTGTTTAAGCACTAAACATAAGCTAAGTCTCTGTGGCTGAAAAATCATTGTTTGGAATATGGCAGTACTAGTCAGGGCTGGGAAAAAGTGTAATTGGGGAATGTTTGAACAAGGTTTCTCAGACCTGGAGTGGTAATGATTTATGAGCTTTAACTTGAACCCCTCCACATCCAGAACATGCCTTGTGAATGGGATTTGTGTTTGGTGGTTTATTCTGTAATTTTATTTAGTCTTTTTGTTCTTGCAAAACTTTCAGATAAAACTTGCTGTACCAAAGGCAAATAATCTTTTAAATGGGACATTTTCTCACTGTTTTGATAATTCAATATTGCATGGACATGAGCTTTTTACCATACACTAGTGAGCTGCATTAATGTCTACTCTCATACATAGGCAGCAGCCTTCTCAAGCAGCATCTTAACTATAATGGAACCTCATAAGTCACTAATTTGGAACGCTCTACATTGGAAGGAATTTTGTTTGTCATACAAATAGTGTTTATGTGAAGCATACAGGAGGAGACTCGCCTCAATTAATTTTGATGGAGTTTGACTTTTTACCCCAATACTCTTTACATATGAAGTATAACATACTGATTATTCAACAACAGCAGCGTTCATTTACATGTTGTACAAGTCTTAAAGGTACAGTAGCAAAAATAGCCTGTTCAATTCTAAGGGCAAAACTAGGGGTGCACGATATTGGATTTTGCCGAGATCTGATATGCCGATATTTTCAAACTCATTTTGGCCGATAGCCGATGCTGATATATTTCCTTTTGTTTGGAAACAACACCAGGTCTCTCCTGTGCATAAATGGGGATGCACCGATACTGGTATGGGGCCCGATACTGGTCTCCTTTACTTCCGACTTTTAGGGGAAGTCGTGGCCTAATGGTTAGAGAGTCGGACTCATAACCCAAAAAGATTCATAACCCAAAAAGGTTGTGGGTTCGAGTCTCGTACCGGCAGGGATTGTAGGTGGGGGGAGTGAATGTACAGCGCTCTCTTCCACCTTCAATACCACGACTGAGGTGCCCTTGAGCAAGGCACCGAACCCCCAACTGCTCCCCGGGCGCCGCAGCATAAATGGCTGCCCACTGCTCCGGGTGTGTGTTCACGGTTTGTGTGTGTTCACTGCTGTGTGTGTGCACTTTGGATGGGTAAATGCAGAGCACTAATTCTGAGTATGGGTCACCATACTTGGCCACATGTCACTTCACTTTACTTGTACTCGTTAAAATGCCCCGATACCAAACGTATATTCAAACAAAGACACGCCAACAACAGACAGCAGAAAGGAGTTAAGGATGTCTACTGCGAAGTATATGTATGCAATGAATATAATGTTAAACATTCAGTATTAACGCCTGTATTTGATATTTTTTTTACTAGTGGGTGTAGGACACTATAGTTAATTTATTGAAGTGAGGATAGCAAAATAAAGTAAACCGTGACAAATCATACCCAAAAAGTCTTCATACAGTGGACTACCAGTAAAACGGATACAAATTTGGGTCTAAAAATCATTCAGACCGAGTCTGAGAAAAAATTTAAGTTCAGGTTTGCATGAACCTGGGTGACAGCATGCCCAGGAGACTACAGGCTGTCATTAAGACTAAAGGTTGCCCGACAAAGTATTCATAGTTGTGTAAATACTGTCATACTAACAGCTGTCTGAATAATGTTTTGTTGATTGTAATCTATTACATACCTTTCTATCAAAATTATCTAACATTATCAAGATGCATTTGTTCTGACACAGTTTAACTCTGAGTTCTTGTCATATTTTATTACCATTTTCTAAACTATAGCGAATAAACTGTGAAATGTTGAAGGTGTCTGAATAAATTTTGGTTTGACTATCTATTTGATAAATGAAGTTAACCAACTAACATTATACATACCCTTTTGGTTTCTGTACCCAATATTTAAAAAATTTACAAATACAAAAAATATATCGGTATCGATACTCTGTATCGGCAAGTACCAAAAATAAAAGTATCGTATCGGGCGAGTACTGGGAAAAAGTGATATCAGTGCATCCCTAATTATAAACAAATAATTTTTAATTTTGGTTAGTTTTTAACAAAAACTTATTTGTTAGAATTAAATAAACAAAGAAGTTATTTTTATAATAACAATTATAAATCAACTATGCAAGATTCAGTGGTAACTTTAAAATTATTTTGGGATTTAACATTTGTAGATCTAAGGCAAAAGAGTTGTAAAAACGCTGAAAATCATTTAGAGCTCATAATTCATTAAAAAAAATACAAACATATTACACATTAATGGATAAATCTGCATATAAAATTATTTAATTTACAAGTGTTATGTTTGTGATTTTATATATATATATAAAAAAAAAAGTTATTCATGTAAGCTATAGCTTATCTTTAAATCAAAACACTTGATTTTATGACATTGATACTGCTTAATTTATTCAGAAACACAAGCTTCTTAGTGATATGAGTATTTTACTTTTTTACAGCGCCCCCCTATGTAAATAAAATGCCCTAACAGACGGGCAGTAAGACCCGGGGGAGGCTGCCGCTGCTGCTACTGCACATGCTAGAAACTGTTGACACTATTACACACCGAGCATCATCTTGTATGTGCATTTTAAAATTAAATGCAGAGATCCAAAACAGTGAATTTAATCATCATTCAGGCCAAAAGCTAGCTTCAAGAATGACCACACTGCTGACATGATCTAATCGCTAGCACACCCTGAGCGCATGTGAGTTAATCCTCTTATCAGCAAGACATATCGGCATAATTTTTCATATCGGCCGATATCAGTCCGATAATATCATGCATCCCTTGGCAAAACGGATGGAATATCATATAAAGCTAGGTTCTGCCCATGATTAGTAAACCTCAGAGAAAAAAAATGGTATAAGTGTAGAACATGGGCTTTTAAACTATTGTGAGAGGGATTCTGTATTGAAGGGTAGCTGCTTGATTTTAGAGGGTCTTTTTTATCTTGAACTGCTCTGCTCTAGAAATCCGAGCCAGTCTGAGGAATGTTTGGAATTCACGTGCAGAGAGGATCAACCCCCTACTTCCCTTCCTTCTTCCCTTCCCCCTCTCCTCTCTTCTCTTTGTCTGTGTTTGGCTGAGCTCTCTGGATTCTGGTTTTCCTCCAAGTCTTGCTTTTGATGCTTGCGTGTGTCATTGGGTTCAGACTTGTTCTGCCTCGTCTCTGCAGCTGTTTGAGGTTTTAGAATTTTTGTGAATTTACCAGAGGCTGTTTTTCCCCCCCATTGAGCTGCAAAGGGGCTCCTCTGTTCATTGTGTGCATGTGCGTATGTTAAATGTGGTGACTGGAGACTGTATTTCTTGTACACAGGGGACTTTTTAGAGGCATAAATTGGGCCTGGAATGTTTCTCACTCCTCTCAGCTGTCTGTCTCACATTGACTCATTTTACAGAGAAGCTGTGAAACCAGTCTGAACTGACTCAATTACTAGACTTTGACCTACTTTTGTGGCCTCCGATGACCTTAGAACTGAAATAGAAGATTTTGTTTTTAAGTATTCACCCTGCGTTCTCATATGAAAGAGCATAAAGGAAGGAGATGCTAATTCCTTTTGTGAAGAAGGAAAAAATTGCTACTTTTCTTCTTCCCCTCAAGCTGTGTAAAGTATCATGTCCATATTTCAAATGGTGCAGGATGAGCTAAGTCCCCTATTTTTGAGCGGTAGTAATGCTTGCCTTGGCAAACACCGATAAATATGAGCTGTGATGGAGTCTGTCAATTCTGTCTGACATTTATACTTCCTGCTGGTTGGTTTGGAGCTCCTCTCATGGTTTGCATGAGTCATCTGCCACCTCACGCCACCAGCGAGGGTGGATTTATTTAACATTCAAATGAGTTGCCTAAAATGTGTCATGACTGGTTAGGTTTGACTCCTCCTCGAGAATCAGTTATGCAGACGTTTCTATTTCACTGACCCTATAAGACCCCGCTTTCGTCAATTTCTGAATGGGCACGTGCTGTTCTCTAGGAATATAAAAATTAACTCAACTTTTTTTAACATTTAAGATAAGTTATAAATGGGAAAAAGTGTCCTTTTATTGCTTGGACAAAATGCTGCATATTTCTTTGTGAAATTTAAATGTTTAAAAATAACTAAACTAAATTGAAATTTTAAAACGGACCCCAAATCAAATAAATAACACAAAGAAAATCTCTTGATAATCTTTCAATTTAAAGAGGCAACCACTGTATTTTAATCAAGATACAAACAAAGATGCTGCAAGCAGTTTTTAATCTAAATTAGATAATTATAACTTTTTAATTTTGTGAAACTATACTACATAAAACATATCTGCATGAAACAAATGGCAATAAGAACTGCAGACAGAACTTTCAGGAAATAAACCATTTAGAATTTTTTTTTCTCCCTTTTGTGCTTAGTGTGTCTTTCTTGATATTGCTAAATGCTTTTTAAAATTAAAATGTATATACTTTATTTTATATGATTTTTATACTGCAAACTGGACTGTACGGAGACTCTAACCACGTGCAAAATAATGAGCTCCTTACCTGTAAGTACCACACGTCAGTGCCACACTTTACTCTGAAACAGGCAGTGCATTTATTTGATAGTTCACCCAAAAATGAAAATTGTCATAAATTACTTACCCTCATGTCGTTACAAACCTGTATGGGTTTCTTTCTTATGTTGAACACAAAAGAAGATATTTTGAAGAACCCAAAAGTTGTTGGTCCCCGTTGACTTCCATAGTAGGGAAAGAAATACTATGGTAATCAATGGGGGCCATCAACTGTTTGATTACCAGCATTCTTCAAAATATCATCTTTTATGTTCAACATAAAAACTCATACAAGTTTAGAACAACATGAGGGTGAGTAAATGATGACAATTTTAATTTTTTGTTGAACTGTTCCTTTAAGTTGCCACCTTTTGAATGATAATCATTAAGCCATATCACATTTTTGGTTTGTTGCATTAGTAATCATGGAGTCTTTCAATACATCAAATCCTGCTGCATGTTAATAGTTATGCTATTGCGCTTCAAAGAAGTTGTACTCTGATGCCATATCACAGATGTTTCATTACAGGTCGTCATTATAGGTGTTTGTTTTTTCTTTTTGGATTGGGCTAAGGTCTGGTGTCTTTAGAAAGATGAGGTTTAAGTTGAATCCTTTAGCAGGATCTTTGAGTAGAATGTGATCTGAATGTTGGTAATCTACTTCCAGGTAATCTGCTCTCATTGCATCATGTAACCCTGCACAAGACCTTTTACGCAGCGACTATGATGATTGTTTTGTAATCCTTTAATTTGGTGTTCTTCCAAGCATCTTGCTGTTTTAAGAGGGAGTGAAAGGACACTGAGGTCAGGTCGTGATGGTGTGAAATGATTTCTCAGTCTGTCAGGCTCTGATGGTATTTTTTGCTCCTGAGAAGGTTTTAGAGTGGTCAGTTGTGAACATATGGTCTGCTGTAATCTGGTTTTAACAGCTTGTCACATACGCTATTCACAAAAATAGCCCTCACACTGAACTGTTGGGAAAATTCTGGCCTCAAGAATCACTAGACTTTGTTTGTTTTGGCCACTGGATGTGTACACTGAGTTTGTGTGAGGGTGTTTTGTATGAACGGTGACCCATACGAGCAGGTTGATGTTACTGACTTGTCTGTCTGCCGTTGTGTCAGGCACGAGACGGATTATCCTGGTTCTTTGTCCAGAGGAACTGCTTATCTGTTTTGATCTGTCTGTCTGCCCATGTGTGTCATCCTTTAGTCATTGTCTCTCTGTCTGTCCTTCAGATGTTTCTTGGAGCAAGTTTTGTATCTTAGAGTACAGCTGTAGACTGACTGTCTTTTCAACTAAAGGCTAGATTTGAAACTGGGCCATGTGTTGGAGCTGGTAACCCTGCTTTAGTCAGGAATTTCTGATACAGCTGTCCTGGGTGTTTTATACATGCATTGTGGTGCATGATCTCGTCAATGAATGAAATGAGATTAGCAGCAACGTGAATTATTAAATGCTCAAGCAGTAGGGGGTGTTATGTTGCAATATATGTGTGAATTACAGTTTCTGCAAGCCTTTAAAACAATGTTTTGTAACTGCAGTGTTATTACCAAGGATCTTTGGGTGACACTGGTTGTAAGAAATGTTCTCTATCTCCCATAGGGGTATCTGTCTGAGGGACTGGTCACTAAATGGTATCGTTCTCCTCGTCTGCTCCTTTCCCCAAATAACTACACCAAAGCCATTGACATGTGGGCCGCAGGGTGCATCTTTGCTGAAATGCTGACTGGAAAAACTCTCTTTGCAGGTATTAAAGCGTGTGTGTGTGTGTGTGTGTGTATGTCTAAATAAGTCCTATAATCTTGTATTATATTAGTGTGTCTTCCTTTTATTCTGTCACTTTTTTTAGTTGCTCATTTCTTTGTGACACTATCTTATCTTGCACATACAATGATCGGGTAGCTGAAGGTAATTTCCTGTATTCTTACTGTATTCTAATAAACTAGGACAAGGTGTTTTATTTCTTCTCTTTTGTAGTAGTAAAAGAGAGAAGCTGTTTCTGTGAACTCAAACCTTTGGAAACTAGGGCAGAACTGTTTTAATGCAATTTAGTGGATGCAAGTTTAGGCACAGCTGGTTTACAGGGTTGCCACTGCCATGGAAATATCTGAATTTTAATTGTGAGTTCAGTCTCTATAATTTTCTTTTAACAAGTGCTTATCTAGTAATCCTGTACAAATGGGAGAGTCGTGGAAATTCATTATTCAAATGTCGTGGGACCCTGAGATTAATATTAACCCTCAGCATTGCCAAACTCAAACATGCACACTAACTAGGCCAGTTTCTTTGAGTATACAAATGTCTCTTGTGCCAAATATTGGCAGTGCAATTTCCTTGACGCAGTTTCTACATTTGTATTTGTGCGCAGGAGCTCACGAGCTGGAACAGATGCAGCTGATTCTGGAATCCATTCCGGTAGTCCATGAGGAAGACAGACTGGAGCTCCAAAGTGTAATACCTGTCTTTATCAAGAACGACATGTCAGAACCACACACGCCGCTCGCCAAGTTATTGCCTGGTGTCAGCCCTGAGGGTTAGTTGCACAAGCATTTTTGCAGAATCCGTGCAATTCATAGAAACTTAATTTTATAGACTCTTAAATTCATTGAAGCTTGCATACCCTTCTCTCTTGCACACTCCCTTCCCTTTACCCAGCAGCAATCCATAGGATTCTGTAAATTTAGAAAATGATCTAATTTCTGCTACACTTTATACTAAATCAGAGTTGGCAGTCTAAATCTCATATATTATTGTTCATTTGTTCACTGTAGCCTTGGATTTCCTGGAGAAGATCTTGACGTTTAACCCCATGGACCGGCTCACTGCGGAAGAGGCTCTTGCTCACCCATACATGAGCGATTACTCCTTCCCTCTAGACGAACCAGTGTCTTTGCATCCCTTCCACATTGAGGATGAGGTGGATGACATCTTGCTCATGGATGAGAGCCACAGTCACATCTACAACTGGGACAGGTGAGCCTCACCTAATGGTGAAAATTCCAGTATTGGTTCATCAGTCTATGCGGTCATGAGTTTTAGAGCAGAGAAAAGTAAAGAAAGTTGGTTCTCCTGGCTGCCATCTTGCCAGTGCCATAATTTTTATTTTTCCTTCACACTGTAGGTACCATGAAAGTCAGTTCTCTGATCAAGACTGGCACCTGCACAGCACCCATGAACTAGAAGACGTGCAGCGGGATCCTCGAGCTATGTCAGATGGCACGGATGAGGAGGAGGTCCAGATCGATCCACGCAAATACATGGATGGGGAGTGTGAGAAGTTCCTAGAGGATCCATCGTTCGATCTTCCACCAGAGCGCTCGTGGCAACAGGAAGATCACCATGAGAACAAATACTGCGACCAGGAGTGCAGCTACACTTGCAACTACAAAGCTGTGTCCCCATCCTACCTGGACAATCTGATCTGGAGGGACAGTGAGGTGAACCACTACTATGAGCCCAAACTCATCATTGACCTCTCCAACTGGAAAGAACAGCAAAGCAAAGAGAAGAATGACAAAAAAGGCAAGACCAAGTGTGAGAAGAACGGACTGGTCAAGGCCCAGATCGCCCTGCAAAACCACTGCGTGGCCGAGAAGGATCGCGAACAAGAAAAACACCAGGGCTTCGACTTTGATTCGTTTATCGCCAGCACTATCAAAATGAGCCTTCAGCCAGAATCCGGCGACGTTGACCTCCTGAATGAGTTGAACACCTCCGTTTCCCAGCTGGACACCCGTGCTCCTTGCGGCTCCATGTCCAAGTCCATCAGTCAGGAGAAAGAAGAGAAGTGTCTTGTAAACCTGGCACAGCTCGGCGTCCGAGCACCCTGTCCTTGGGAGAGTTTCACGGACAGCGACGTTACCGAGAGCAGCATAATCGACGAGGCTTGCTGGGACGTCCGCAAAGATGAGCAGCTCCAGAAGGAGAACAGCAGCTGCCAGAGCAGTTACTTAGACCGCCTCTTCAACAAGCGTGAGGAGGTAGAGTCCGAGATCCCCGAACCTGTCGAGGAGTCCACACCGGAGGATGACTTCATATCCTGTGGCGGCGAGATTGTCTTTAACATGCAGCTGGAGTCTCTGGCCATTCCGGGGTTCGAGGGAGCGGGTGACATTCCTCTGAAGTCCATCCAGGCCACGTTAACGCCCTCTGCTGTTAAGCGCTCCCCACAAATCGCCCACAAAACCTACAGCAGCATTTTCAAGCATTTAAATTAAACAATCCACCCTGTTCAAGCAGAGTCCAGCTTATTTTTTATAGAGTTATGTATTTCTGTACTTGAATCATTTTTTTTATCTTTTTACATATGTTACTTCTAAGGAAACAATTTTTTTTTTTATTTGTGGATTAAATGTAAGCTAATTCAGTTCATAAATTCATCCAAAGTGCTGGACTGTGTTCCTACACATGAAATATGTTTTTGCCCTCTAATTTTCAGTTTCAACTCTGATATATATATTTAAAAAGAAACTAACACCATGATATTTGCACACAGTGTACTGTAGATTCAGAAACATATTAGGGAAAGACAGAGGAACGACTGTTAAGTAGTGAAATAGATGGTTTATCTATTTGCAAGCAAAGGAATAGAGAAAAAGAGGGCGGAATAATGCACCAACTGTGTGGGAGACACCGCCACTGACATCATAATGTGACCTTCTGACTGACAGCCAATAGGACTGACACAAGCAGTGCGTCTTGGCCTTTCTCTTCCTGTTGTTTTTAATTAAGGCTAATGTATTTATTTGACCTTTTCCACCTCATTTCCATTTAAAAGCAAAGCCTTTTTGTCATTTTGTTCATACTGTAAACTTCCTCAAACGTGATGCCAGCACAGCAAGCATTAACCATAGGTTTGCGATGCGTTAACTGTAGGTTCGTAAAGGCGTTATCTACCTCAAGGTAACAGCAGAAGGTTCTGTCTCCCAACTGTAGTGCTTTAAAGAAACACTTGCCGTTTCATCGATGTAGTGCACAGCGATTTTTACTTTACATTTTGCATTTGCCATAGTGAAGTGTTAAGATCATTATTTATTTTTAGCAGATGTGCGATATTTATTTTAAGAACGTTGTAATTTTTCATTGTGAGGCATTGGACTTCTATTCTGGTCTGTTTTGGCGCTCTGTGTTTGTTTAGCTGTGGATGTTCACTTATCCGTTTGAGTTGTACAGAAATTCATGACGTTCAACCATTTGTTTTCATAAGGATTCACCTTGTTTTTTTTTTTTTACTTGTAGGTGCTTTGTACGAGTGGAATACTGCTTTATGGCATTTTATGCGCCTAAAAGTCTTAATTTTTTTTCTATATATATATGTATATATAATTTGTTAAAAATTGTGCATGGAAGAAAACCAATGGAAGGTACATTTAAAATTAAGTTAATGGTGAAGTATATTGTATAAGTCATTAATTTTATTTTAATTGTATGTTTTTATGAAAAACATATTTTTTCCAAGCGAGCATGATTGAATTAGGTTCAGATATAGCATGTAGAACACTTAAAAGTTTTTTTGGGGGTTAATTTTGCCTTTAAATGCTGGTTTCATTCTGTTATCATTGGTTCCACTGTAAAATAACATCAATAAAATGACCAGCAAGTGTATCACTGTGACCTGTGTGGTTTTTTTTGAGTGGGAAAATACACATGGGCAAAGTTCAGAAGAGGGGTTTCCCTCTGTTAGTTCACACCTGTTGATCTAACCAGTCGTTATTTGCTGCAGGTTTGTGTAGTGTCTTATTCATGAGCTTATTCTAGTACCAATAACACCATCTCATGATGTGATCTAAAAGAGGTCCCATTTTTTTTAATCTCCCAAAGTTTTTTCTTATACACAAGCACATGGAGAAATAGGAAACAACTAGGGTCATAAATATTGTCCAGATGCAAACTATTGTGGACCTGGTCCCTCCAGTCCAGTGGAAACCGAGTACTATGACAGCAGCCGGTTAAGAAACTACATGCAATGAAAGATGCTGTCAAGCTGAACTCACACTTTCTGAAGTCTGATAAATTAAGAGTGGAATGGACAAGGACTATTTAAAATGAACCAGTGGAGACAAAAGTGAAACAACTTGAACGTCTAACTAAACTGATTTCTTACAACTAGATTGCAAACAAATTTTTTTTATACATATATTTCACAGCCAATATCACAGGATCACATTTACCGTTCCATTCATGAGCTAGGACCACAAAAGAGGATACAACCTGAAAGAAAGAAATATGGGGGATAAGGATGGCTGAATGCGTGGGTTCGAGAGAAGGAGAAAAACAATACGGTATGAGGTGGCCCGATATATGGAGGTTTCGGGAAGTCAGGTGATTGTTTGTGGCGTGGCGCCGCTCCCGAACCTCAGTTAACAAGTCAACTCCCTTTAATAAAGAGCCCTGGTGCAAATGATATGACAGATTATCATTTGTATGATTTCAGAGTTGCTTTTAAAGTGATTGTTGACCATCCATAGCAACGGATGTTTTGGAGTCTGCCGTGATGCCTAGGCTCAGATCTTGTGACCCTGGTCGGGGCAGAGAAACTTCCTTCACTGATAGGTTCACTCTTGGGCAGGGGTTGAAACACAATCTCCCTGAGAAGGCTGTAATTTGCCCACTACCATAATGCATCAAATCATGCAGATGGTTTTGGAGAGTTGTGCTTTTACTTTTCTAAGTGGTCTGATTTGCAATTTATCTATAGACCAGAATATTGAAAAGACTTGGACTGGCTCTGCTGACTTTCCACTAGGGAACCCAGAACACCTTTGCAACTATATAGCAATCCATTAAACCACTCGGAACACCTTAGAATCACGGTAGATTCACCTTTTAACCAGGCCTTATGCACTCTTGGTGCATGAAAAGTTCACAGTCACACCATCTGAGAATGTGACACACTAATAAGCTTCTAAAATCAATATGCACAAATAGAATTTGAGCTGCTTATAAGATCTAAATGGAGACTATTCCCACCAGAGCTCAGCTGAAGAGCAGGCCAGCTGTGAGTTTCAGGATAATAGACCTCCTTGCATCCTTTTGCCCGGTTCCTTAGGAACATCAGCCACAACATAAGTATGGTTACCATGTCCACACAGCGTGGAGGGAGTTCAGTTCCTCTAGACACACATTAATCAGCTGGTTTCTTCAACCTGGATCCTTTAGAGATGTTGACCTGAATTCCAGTCCGTGGAGAGACAGGTTTCCATGCCCTCAGAACATAATACTCTGAAGCAAGCCCAGGTGTATAGGGAAAATGGTTTACATTTACACAGCACCTTTTTACATTTCTTAAAGATAGTATGAGTATCAAGTAGGAGTAATGGATCAGGGTTAAAAAAAACCAAAGCCTGCATGAAGGTGGCTCTGCAGGGCGGGGTACCCCTGGTCAAGAGAATCAGGCCATCACATTGCAAGATTAAAGTAGTTGTATTAGGAGAATAAAGTAAATATTACACCAAGGTCACAGCGTTATGGGATTGAAGTCAAAATATATAAAGACAAAAGGCGACATCTCAAAGGTGACATTCTTTTAAAATGCTTAGCATGGCAGTGATAAAATCCATGTGACATCAGGGCGACTTGAGGGTGTTCAAATGTAGTTGCTAATGTATTCTGAGTGGTTTTTAGCATGTAGCTAACATGTTCTGGGTGGTTGCTAGGTGACAAATCCATTTTATTGGCAAATAACTGTAGTTGCTTAGAGAAACAATAGATATATATTTAAAAAGAAACTAACACCATGATATTTGCACACAGTGTACTGTAGATTCAGAAACATATTAGGGAAAGACAGAGGAACGACTGTTAAGTAGTGAAATAGATGGTTTATCTATTTGCAAGCAAAGGAATAGAGAAAAAGAGGGCGGAATAATGCACCAACTGTGTGGGAGACACCGCCACTGACATCATAATGTGACCTTCTGACTGACAGCCAATAGGACTGACACAAGCAGTGCGTCTTGGCCTTTCTCTTCCTGTTGTTTTTAATTAAGGCTAATGTATTTATTTGACCTTTTCCACCTCATTTCCATTTAAAAGCAAAGCCTTTTTGTCATTTTGTTCATACTGTAAACTTCCTCAAACGTGATGCCAGCACAGCAAGCATTAACCATAGGTTTGCGATGCGTTAACTGTAGGTTCGTAAAGGCGTTATCTACCTCAAGGTAACAGCAGAAGGTTCTGTCTCCCAACTGTAGTGCTTTAAAGAAACACTTGCCGTTTCATCGATGTAGTGCACAGCGATTTTTACTTTACATTTTGCATTTGCCATAGTGAAGTGTTAAGATCATTATTTATTTTTAGCAGATGTGCGATATTTATTTTAAGAACGTTGTAATTTTTCATTGTGAGGCATTGGACTTCTATTCTGGTCTGTTTTGGCGCTCTGTGTTTGTTTAGCTGTGGATGTTCACTTATCCGTTTGAGTTGTACAGAAATTCATGACGTTCAACCATTTGTTTTCATAAGGATTCACCTTGTTTTTTTTTTTTTACTTGTAGGTGCTTTGTACGAGTGGAATACTGCTTTATGGCATTTTATGCGCCTAAAAGTCTTAATTTTTTTTCTATATATATATGTATATATAATTTGTTAAAAATTGTGCATGGAAGAAAACCAATGGAAGGTACATTTAAAATTAAGTTAATGGTGAAGTATATTGTATAAGTCATTAATTTTATTTTAATTGTATGTTTTTATGAAAAACATATTTTTTCCAAGCGAGCATGATTGAATTAGGTTCAGATATAGCATGTAGAACACTTAAAAGTTTTTTTGGGGGTTAATTTTGCCTTTAAATGCTGGTTTCATTCTGTTATCATTGGTTCCACTGTAAAATAACATCAATAAAATGACCAGCAAGTGTATCACTGTGACCTGTGTGGTTTTTTTTGAGTGGGAAAATACACATGGGCAAAGTTCAGAAGAGGGGTTTCCCTCTGTTAGTTCACACCTGTTGATCTAACCAGTCGTTATTTGCTGCAGGTTTGTGTAGTGTCTTATTCATGAGCTTATTCTAGTACCAATAACACCATCTCATGATGTGATCTAAAAGAGGTCCCATTTTTTTTAATCTCCCAAAGTTTTTTCTTATACACAAGCACATGGAGAAATAGGAAACAACTAGGGTCATAAATATTGTCCAGATGCAAACTATTGTGGACCTGGTCCCTCCAGTCCAGTGGAAACCGAGTACTATGACAGCAGCCGGTTAAGAAACTACATGCAATGAAAGATGCTGTCAAGCTGAACTCACACTTTCTGAAGTCTGATAAATTAAGAGTGGAATGGACAAGGACTATTTAAAATGAACCAGTGGAGACAAAAGTGAAACAACTTGAACGTCTAACTAAACTGATTTCTTACAACTAGATTGCAAACAAATTTTTTTATACATATATTTCACAGCCAATATCACAGGATCACATTTACCGTTCCATTCATGAGCTAGGACCACACCACAAACAAGCTATGGAATAGTTAATTGAACAGGATGTTGGGGAAGAGTAGAAAGAGGATACAACCTGAAAGAAAGAAATATGGGGGATAAGGATGGCTGAATGCGTGGGTTCGAGAGAAGGAGAAAAACAATACGGTATGAGGTGGCCC